TTTTGATTATCCTTAAGCGAGGGATTACGATAAGTTTGGACTGGGTTCATAGTGGAAGTGGAGATGCTGAATAATGCCCCAGTGGCGAAAAAAGCAAAGAAATCCGTCAAGAAGGCGCAAAATGGGACCCCTTTCTTTGCCCGTTGACCTCCGATAATGGACGAGCTAGCAACCAATTAGGAGGTCGTTTGCACATGTTATGCTGATAGCCTCTATCATTTCAGCAAGCATCATGCTTTGATTGATCACGCATCCCATGAAAAGTTATAGGATACACTCTGGAAGTGGAATATCTCGTCACATTGGCAATCGAAGGGCGCTGCTGCTGGGGGCGGAGCACAGACCGTGGCGGGGCTCAGAAAGGAATGGCAAGCCTTGTACGCTGCAACTAGCGCACCTTTGACCACAAAAACGCAACATTTCGTTTCCTTGGGCCCCTGACTACTGCTTCCAATGGTGCATGTACTTCCACGCTGCATACGCACTTTATCGTAATCTCTCGCTTTAAGCAATAGTTAATATGAAAGAATAATTTGCAGCAGTTGCATTTTTCTTGAACTGGAGTATTTTGTTCGATGTGCTTGAACAGTTAATCTTTTTTTGACGTAAAACTGCAGCAACTTCTGAAGTTTTCTCATCGTCATTACGTTTTGATTTCTCCACCTGATGCGGCGCAAAGCATCGTGTATGGGAATCTTTTAGGGACAGTAAGCAGTTCCTTTATAATATCCCTTGAAGTTTGTTTCCATAAAATTTCTTTTGCCCTTTTTCGTGCCGTTTTCTAACTGTATTTACCAGCTACTTGTATTTGAGGCAAACCCGTACATTCATCTACCCACGCTGCGGAGTTCATAGTTTTTTTTTGCTAGAATTTCTGAACATAGTGGTTGTTACCCCTCAAATATTCAGGTCCTGTTCCTACCGCTCCTTTATTCCTATGTAAATCTCAGCACCCTTCAGTACGAGCCTCTTTCATCCAACGAAAGCGAATACGGCACTTGAAAAATCTGGGACGGTAGCAAACCTTCATTAATTCAGACTTAACGTGTCGAGATTAGCTCAGACCAAAGTCAGTTTAGATAACTGGTTCAGAGCGCTTCTCAACACATTAAGTCTTGTTTAACCTACAGTTAGATCATAACCAAAAAAACCAATTTGACTTGAAGTTAGACAGTTAACTTGTAAACCTAATTCCTAACTAATCAGAGAAAAAAAATACTGTGGGGTTGAGGAGACGCAGAGGCCACGTTGATCCTTCACTAAAAAGTACTCCGAAGCACTTTTTACTGGAGGGTCATACGTGTCAGACGTGGTGACTGCGCCTCCTCAAATCCCGTGCTCTTTTTTCTTCTCTGACCAGCTCAACCTGTTAGGAATCAAAGAATGCAGCTGCGATCCATAATCTTCAGGTACTTTTGCAACCTTTTTTTTCTTATTTATTCGTTTCCTGATATTTTGTCGTCTGAAATCTAAAGTAGGAAGCTCTTGCTTGATCTGGGCTGGATCGCACTCTCCATTCTTTATTCTTTGCTTAGAATCTCCGATCGTTACTTCTGATTGCGAGTTAAGGGTACTTTGCTACCGTCCCTGGTTAAATAAGGATACCCCTGATACCATTTTTGGAATTTTCACCAGAAATATGTCACAATCATTTCGCATTCCGGTCGTTTTAATGGTGCCATTTCTCACGACGAGCTTGCTAATCTTTCGAATTTTACAGATTTTGTTTTTGTAAGCCTAGCTTTTTGCAGGTTGTGCCACGTTTGATCGAGGTGACTCGTGCGTGCCGTGGCCGTCCGTCTCATCGGGAGTTCTTCTTGAGGCAACTTGCTAGCCTTGTTGCCATTATCAAAGTTCATGCAAAGCCGTATATGAAACAGATTTTCAGTCTGATTGCTGTGAGTTTTTCTTTCTCATTCCTGTAGGTGACCAATTTTCCATGGCGGCGCGAAGTACAGGGTGTCCCATAAATATTGCACCACTTTTCTTTGAGTGTAACTTCTCTCAAAACGTATGTATCTTCAAGAGCTTATACACAATTCTTAGCCATACATTTACATATTTGAAGGAGTGATGTTTATTAGACATGACCCCCTGTTGCTGTGATTATGGCTCCCGATTGCTTCGAAAGCAACACTACTGCGGCCCGCGTAGCATTCTGGGGTTCTCCCTTCGAAAGTTAGCTGTAAAGAGGCTCCGGTTGATCGATGTGAGTGCCATGTTGGGAGCAGGTTCTGTCCCTTAATACAGCCCACATAGGTTGGATCACGTTGGAATCAAGGAAGAAGGGGGCCGTTCCTTTGAGGATATGAAATTGTAAGGAGTAGCTTGAAACCGCTTCTGAACAATTTTTGCCTCCTCTGCAGAAGCTGGGTTCGATTGGAAAAAACATCATTCTCCCCTCAAAGTGGCTAGATACCTTTAGTAACAGATGATGCACAAAGATGTCCCTCAGGTTGGTCTGGCATCGAGTTGTGTTCCTTTTTGAAGAGGCAGTGGTCGTGAGCGACCGGTACTTGAGACCTCTGACTAGACCGCGACAGGAATTGGTTGCTACTTCTGAAGAATATTCCTCTCTCTTTCTTTGGCAGCCTTAAGACCTCATGCGAGTATCCCCAAATTTTGGAGATTGTAGCTCCGCTCCATGAGAGGAATTTTGTCGCCGATGAAAACGGTGCCCTCGTAATCACCATTTTCGGCCCTCGACACCAGCTCTTTGGACTTTTTGTATCTGCGGCGCTTCCCTGGTTCGATAGAGCAGTGGCGCTTGTGCAGCCTATAATGCTGTGTAAGCAGTTGTTGCTTGACCACTCTTCACATGATTGTGCTCAAACACTTCAGCGTTCTGGTCGGCTTTCTCAAGCGAACTTCGATATGGTAGTCGATCCGCTTCTTCATGCTTTACCTGTAATCCAAGATAGCAGAACATAAGGGGCGGCCGCATTGGAACCTACATTTATGATTCTTCTCTTCGGTGCGTGATAGGTCGCGGAGCGGTTAAGATTACAAAGATGTACGATATTTATTACCGTTCGTCGGACCTAGCTGCGCGAAGGATTTGGCACTCTGTTGAGGTTTATGCGCGCGATGAGATGTAAGTAGAACGGTAAGGCGTGCAATTTGGCGTGGTAAATCACAAGAGGTTAGAGGATTAAAATGTCTACCAATCTCGGATGGAAAACTATAAACGCCCACAGAATTGAAGTTCAAAATGTGGTGCAATATTTATGGGACACCCTGTATTTTAGCGAAGCCCGTACATAGTACAGGCTTGCCTACAAAGCATATTACTGTGGAACATATGTCGCCTTTTCAAATTTCTGTTAACATTCAGTAGTTTGCAGGACGCATGGAGTGAAGATCACAGTGTCAAAGTGACAGTGGTGAGCGTACTCGAACAAATTGGAACCGCAATGGGTCAAGAGTTTGCGCCTCATATAGCTGAGCTTATTCCTTACTTGCTACGGGTTGTACAGACCGATAAGAGCGAAGAGCGAAAGCTCACTGCACAAGTTAGTTTTGGGATCTCCTTGAAAAGATGTTCACTTTTTATTGAATACGAAGAAAAATCTGTCTTCGGGCTATTCTTAATTAGCACCATAGTTACTCAATAACACCTGTACAGGTTTTGTCGTGTGTTCGTTCGTTGTCTGGGTGCCTTACACCACATCTCCATTTGGTCTTACCCCCGGTGCTCATGATACTAGACGATTCTGCGGTGCCGACACCTGTGCGACAGTCAGCCTTAGGTCGGTAAATTGCACTGTAGTTTTATCGATTTTTGTTTTCTTTATTAACAATCCTCGAATCTTACTGTTTCACTGAAGCCGAAGGCTTTTCAGCTTTTTGTTTCCCACCCACTCAGCAGATTTAATAATTCGAAGTCGTAACTGTCTGATTTCCACAGAACTTCCAACGATGACTCACTTGAAGCGAGCAATACCCTAATCCTGGCGAATATTGCAAATTGTGTTATCATGATCGTGAAATATCTGTCTTTCAAGGTACGGTTCTGCACCTGACTCGATGTGACGACCTATCCGACTACGCACCACGACTCATGCAAACATGGCAAAGAGGTATCTCTGTAGTCGCCCTTCAACCTCAGCTACTAGAACTGTTGGTGGAAATAGTCAATCAGGTCCGTTTTCCACGTTAAGCCTTCTTTGTTGCTGGAATTCAGGTGCAATTTTTGTATTCGGGCGTAGGGGTAGGATATTACACACCAATTCATGTGTGTTCATCATGTGTTTCCAGATTTCTTTCTATAGAATCGATTTAATTCAGATGTGGAAGCATTTCGAGGTGTTCCGTAGAAGTGTCGACGCCAATCTGAGGAAATACAACTTGAATAGTGGGGAAATGTACGAGAAATACATAAGTATGGTTTCTTTTGATTTTTTAATATTCTGGTTGTTTTCACCAGTTTGCGCCACACACTGTGCGCGCACCACACTTTCTGCGACGATATGGAAACGGAAATTCTCACGTTCGTATACCAGGACTCTTTCAAGCTGAACTGTATGCGCTTCCTTCTCGGTCTACGTGTTATGGTTAGAGCACGAGGAACCCTGGACTCTTGTCCGCCCATAAAGAGCTCTTTTCTTCCAAGCCGGCCTCCCACTTTTTTTCCGTGCTCCGAACTGTCTGAACCGAATTATAAAGCCTTGTGGCAAACACCGCCCACTTCGGTACATACGCCGACCAGTGACAGTTGACCTCCTTTCCTTCACAAACCTCTATTCTCTTTTTTCCCGGTCTCTGGACTATCTCTAAACCGAGCTATGACGTTTTGTGGCCATCTCCATCCACTCAGTAATAGGAGTTGACCTGCTCTTATTTGCCAACTTCTAGTATAGGTTACCTTGTTGGGTTTAATGTAAGTCCTTGATTCGACGGTACGAATTTCCATCAGAAAGCAATATTTTTGCCACGATTCACTCGTTACGCACCTGTTTTCATTGTCTTCCTCAGTATTGTTTATCCTGCTTGTTCATCTTTGGTTGAATACAGGTAAATGCCATCGTTTCCAGTTCTTTTTTTTTCAGAAACCGCTCAACAGGCGATGTTACATCCAGCTGAACGGCCAGGGAAACGTCGTGGCACTGGCGCAGTTCCGCCGGAGAGGATTAATGTCTCGCATACCATTACTAAATCTGCAGCGAAGAACATGGATCAGATTCTAAGCTGGACTGTTAATAAGCAGAGGCTCAACACCGACGTGAGTCGCTAATAATAAGACCTAATTGTCAGACCTTTCGCAATGGAAATGAGATCAGAGAGATAATTAAAGCATATCACTGCCACATTCTGCCCAGCCATGTGTCAAGTTTTCGGTAAAGCATCTTTTGTACCCCTTCTTGAATTAGGTCCGTTCATTTCTGTTGTTTTGTTCGGGGACCTTTGCAAGTTCACTGAACAGTATCAAACATTTTGGGATGCTACCATTCGGCAAACCTCTTTTTCTGACCTGAAGAAACGAAGGAATGAGATCTTGGAGACCTCCATTCAACTTGATTCAATGGTCTTCTGGCCTATTTAAAGGAAATAGGTACGGAAAGGA